AAAGGAAAATAAACACAGTTCTACCTTTTAAACTAAATATACTTTGCTGTACATACAGATATAAAAATAATTTTGAAATTATGTTTATACATCTTTCTGTGTCAACCACTGATGGTTTTGTGGTACAAGTTATAAGTGAGAAAATGCTATCTTCTCTATTAGTAAGAAAAGACATTAAGTTGTTCTCCAATGTACATCAACATTGGTGAAAAAAATCATATTATACCTTCAAAAGGCTCAATAACTGTCAGAAATGTTTTTCTTTTGCAAGAAAAACTATACAATATGGTCAGAAAAAGGAAGTTAATATCATTATGTTAGCGTGGATAAGGAAATCGGTCATGGTCCAGTTGTATCATCTGCAGCAGAGATACACTTTCTACTTATTTTAGTCACTCTTCATTCAAAAAAGACAATAGCAATGTAATAGCTTGTGTTTAAAATGCTAATTCACTATCATTTGGACCTGAACTGCATTATCAAATCAATCATCTTTTTGATGGCTCAATAAACAGGATTGCTGCTACTCTGCTAGAACAAAATGCCTACATCTCTACCACAATCTACTGTCTCCCAAGCATGATGAGAACAGTAATTTTATTATTCTGATAAGACGAGACTTAATGCTCAATCCTTCGACTTGATCCTTACAAGATCTGCATGTCCAAGAGTGGTTTTAAAAAAAAGGGGGGGGGGGTTTATTCCTTGCAACAGAAAAATCACACTTACTCATATTTAAAAGCAAAAACATCCATGTATAAATGTCAACATAAATTCTAGTAGCATGTTAATTTTCCAGATAGTGAGATAATCAAAAGGTTCATGGGATATAATATACACCACGGCATTAAAAATCTAAGTGTTTTGAGCAGGACCCTTTTCATATTTCTTTACTAATGAGGGAGATCCTTTAAATGAGTTTCAGCACCCATAAGTATAAATAAGGACTTTGAAAAATCTTATCACATCCTGGTATTTAGGGAGCCAATCATAATAGTACTTTTCACGAAAACAAGAGGGGTCTTTCCTTAAAAACATTCATGTTAAGATATTCTATTTGTGCAGCTTTTAACTCCTGAAATAGACCCTTCACATGCAACGATTTCTTTGAGAAACCTAAAATCATACAGGTTTCCTAGAGCAACACCATCCCCACACCATCCCCAGAACCTGATTTCCTGCTCCTGGTAGCAATCCATTTTGCTAGTGTTATGCGCGAATGCTGAGGACAGAAAAACAGAATGAGGATCGTGCCAGTCCAAAATGCCTCTGAAGTCACCCATATAGGCCTTCATTTCTCTCTAACCCACAGTTGCTCAGTGTGTGACCCTGGGAACTGTAGCATCAGCATCACCAGGGAGCTTGTTAGAAATGCAAATGTACTGCTCCACCCCAGAGCAACTGGATCAAACTCTGGGAAAATGCCCAGCAACTCGCATTTTTAACAAGCACAACAGAAAACTACAATGTATGCTAAAGTCAGAGAACAAGTTCGCCACAAACTTTAATGTGTACGAGAATCACCTGGGGAGCTTGTTAAATGCAGATTCTAATTCGGGGGAGGGGGGGTTGAGGTGGGGCTTGGGAGCCCACATTTCTAATAAGTTCCCAGGTGATGTCTTTTATGGCCCACATTACAAGTGTTTCCTAAATCGGTTCTTTGGCAAAATTACCCAGGATGCTCATAAAATATGGAGTCCGTGGCACAACCCCAGATCAAATTAATCCAAATCTCAAGAGAAAAAGCTAGAAAATGTCCACCAGTTCTCCATTCCAACTACACACTAAAATTACCTGGGGAGATTGGAATAATTCTGATTCCCAGGTCCCATCTGTGATTGACTAAATCAGGATCTCTGGGGTTAGTGAACAGGTTTCCACATTCTAAATAACGCCCTAGGGATTCCGATGTGCAGCCATGGTCGAGAAGGAATATTCTGGAGTCTTACTGAACTGGTTCAGCACCTGCCACGGTGGAACCTTTATGGTAGCCAACAGGTTCTTCTAAAATGGCTTATGTCAGCTTCCTCACCTAAGAGCTTGTATTGTTCAACAGGAAAATGTACCTAAAATTATGGTTTCCTTGTGTCTTGAACCTTATTTCTGGAAGAAAAAAAATGTGCTCTCTGCGATGGATAAGTACTCAAAAGACAGGAGCAACCTTGAAGTTTTTGTGTCTATGTGGCCTTTCATAGGATGACCTCTTTCTTCCCCAACCCTAAAACACAAATAATTGAAATTTCTGATGACCTTTCAGAGTGGCAGGGCAGCCGAGGCATCTGTAACTTCTAAACCTATAAAAGTCAGATTCCACCAGTTGCAGGCACTCTGACTGAAAGTTCTAGGGGGCAACAATGCTGTGCTTTTACATATGACAATTTGAAATTGTTGAGAGCATGTCTTCTGGCAGACAGGCAAATTTAGTAAAATTCCTTAAATATACTGCCCAAGACATGGTATCCATAAATCAGTAGGGTGAAGGCTACACAATGCCACACTAATAAGCACACAATATCATCAAATAGGTTAAGCGGAGAAATGTGTGGTGTTGCCAAGGCATTGTGCAATAATCAGTTATTTCCCTCCCACAGTCAGAAGATTTTCTTGAATTTGACATCGCACACTTTAAAAATGAGTTTAACTGAAAAAGAAACGCAGCCCTTTACCCTTTGATTGCTCACGTTCAGTGCCTTCCATAGTTAGTCTATGGAAATGGGACATACTGAAAGCCTACCTAACCATTCAGAGCTACAGCTCTTCCACCAGCTCACCACATTCACAGTGGGCACATGACTGTCTTATTTATCTGCTTAATAACTTGAGAGGCAGAAATTCAGCAATGAGGGTTTTAAAAGAGAAACAACCTAAGTATGTGTGCAAAGTGGCCACTGTTTAAGGCATTTTGAAAACATTTCCTTTACGAACTGGCCAAGTTCATTTTCGTCTTCACTGTTGTTATAGTCATTCAGTTAACCCAAACTCACTTTAAAATGTGCAAAAATAGCACCTCCTCAGAGTGTGTTCTCATATGCTTTGGAACCATGGAGCGTGAATGCTAAAACAGCCTTTCCAAACTCAAGGAGCGGCTCAATAATCGAACAGGAGTAAATTTTTACAGTCCCATGACTTGACAGAGCCAACCTAAGAATGACCCCAGGTCTAGCTTTTGCTACATCACAGTCATCCGAAAGAAGGCTTGAAAGTAAGTGACTTGAACTAGTGAGGATTTTACAGATTTTTTTAACACGCCCATCTTTTTAAAATGAATTTTACTTCTTAATGAAAAAAAATAGGTCAAATAAAGGTGTGGACTTAGGATTTAAGCTCCTAGAATTAACACTAGGAAATTTATAAAAGTACTTCATTTACTTGACAGTGTCCACCTGGGTGCCTTTTCATACATTTCTCAGGAACTGATGCCCAAAAATGAACCAAATCTAAAGAATTGCGCAGAGCACAGCAGAGTTATATGAAATTAAAGACATTTAAAGAATGAAAGCAAAGAAAACAAACAATACGAATGCACAATTTCCAGGACACTTTATTGTAATTTCCACTTTACATATTAATTTGATATTTTAGTAGAGTCAGACCTGTTTATAATTATCCAGCGGAATTTCAGTCTTCTAATCTCACAAAATGAAAAGCAGCAAATTAAAAAGCACATTGATTCAGGTATTTACGCTGTGGGAAACAAGGGGCCTTCAGGTAGAAGGGAGGGGGCGTTGATGGTTTTCAGTTTGAGTGCATGATATTGTTTTCTATGTTTTTCTTGTGGATGCTAGTATTCACAATAAAAAAATCGTCCTCCCCTCCCCCCCCCAGTCTGCCTTCTTTTGGACTTTACATTCTCTCTAGCATTTAACTCGGAAAGTCAGTTTACACTCAGTTTACACATCTTAAAAGAAAAGCCATATGCCCCGTCTCCCACACATCCAAATGGACAGAGATTAGAAGTAACCTGGCTCTTAGCTTGTAACAGTGCTATTTTAAACAGTTCCAACCATATACTTGAAGGGTAAAATCATTGTAAAGTACAAAAACCAAAGGAAATCGTAAAAGTGTCTACACATTTACAGGATTGTTTAACGATTCCTCAAAACATTGAGTTTAACATAGGTTGCTTAAATTGAAATCTACACAAAAGCGAATGCACGCTTAGAACACATTGACAGTGCCTTCTGTGGCGGGGGGGGGGGGGGGGACACGACACGACAACGTTCTTTGAATGTGCTATACCCAGACACTGAAGTAAAAAAGAGAGAGAGAGAGAGAGAGAGAGAGAGAGAGAAAAGAAAAAGAAAAAAGGTCCCACTCTTCAAATGTGAGGAAGCTGGTGGTGCGCTCGCTTCACTGGAAACCCGTTTTAGTGGGTATGTTCAGTTAAAAATAGGTAGTAAGCCTAAAGGTGTTTTAAGAAACCTCTCCCCTCCCCAAGGAACCGGGAAACCCGAAGGAAAAGATGGGCAACCTCCCTGGAGCTCGCGAGCTAAGTTCCATCACTAGCACACTAGAAGTTAGATCACTGCTATTTTTCACCCTGCCATGGGATAGTAGCTCTCCATGTGCAAGGTACGCGGGGCGGGAATACTGGCGGGGCTTTCACGGGGGGTAATGGCGAGCAAAGTGAGGAGAGGTCGGTACCAACAGTGATCCCGCTCTCCAAACCCGCTGCCGGGGCGGAGAGTGAGGGGTAGAAGGGATCGAAAGAAAGGGTCAAAACTCCTGGAAGTTAGCGCAAAGAGGAAGCGGAGCAGTCTGGAAGCCCAGGGGGCCATGTCTGGCAAGCAGCCCCCCGGCTCCAAGCGTGGGGTGCTCGCCTCGTGGAGCAGAGGAGCACCGAGTACCCCTCGGGTCGGGCGACTCTGGGGACCCGAGCAGTGAGCGAGAGGGGCTGAGGGGCACCCGCGAGCAGGAGGCGGAGGACTTGCACTTTTGCCTCAACTCTGAGCCCCATCCCGAGCCCAGGGGAAGAGGGCGACGGGGAGCGCGGTACTCACTAGGGCTCGTTGGTGAAGCGGGGGTTCCGGGGCTGTTGACATTCATGCAGGTGACAGTAGAGCACATCGAAGCAAAAGCAGCGCATCTCCGCTGACACCACCATCTTCCGGGAGCCCGGGGATGAAGACGAGGAGGACGGCGAGGAGGCGGTGGCGGCGGCCGGAGTAGAAAGTAAGGTTCCCACTCCACAGCTCAGAGGTGGAGACAGCGAGATGCCCCCGCCACTGCCGCCGCCGCCGCAACCCTGGGGGGGAGAGTGGGTACAGCCGCCGCCGCCGCCGCCGCCGCTCAGCCCGCCCAGTCCGTTGAGCCGCATCCCGGCGCCTCCTAGTCCCAGCTCCCCGGCTCGGCACTGGCTCTCCCCGCTGCAGTGGGAGGAGGAGGAGGCGCCACCACCGCCGCCTGAGCCAGAGGGGGGCAAACTGGACAGTTTCTGCTTCTTCACCCCACAGAGAGAGCCTTTGATCTAAGTGTGTGGGACCTTACAAACAGCTGAGAGCATTTCATTTCACTCAGGGGGGAGAAGAGAGAGGTTTATTCCCTTAGTAAACATTGAGCCTCTATGCACATCCTAGTGCCCTGCTGTTAAAAACTGACGTGTGTAGAAAATACGTATTCTTCCCACTCTTACACTTGTAAATTAAAGCAGCTCTGTCTACATGATCAGAAAAATTGCACCTATTTATTAAGCACGTTTTAGGTGTCAGTGTTAAACCTATCTCACACCATCGTTCTAGTCAGTAGTGTATCACCTCATTTGATTGTCACAGGAAGAACCCAAAATTTACTTAAGAGTTAAAACTCTTTCCCAACAGTAGACACCTAGAGAGGGACAAAATCAGGATTTAAACGCAAGCATGTCCCATTCTAAAACCTATGCCACAGGGCTGGAGGTGTAAGCAATCAGTGGTAGATTGCTTGCCTAGCATTGCAAGGACCTGAGTTTGATCTCCAACAGTAGAAAATAAACAACTAAAAAACTATGATGTTATGCTACACTTCTGCTCAGCCACAGTATATAATTTAAAAAGTTATTAAGAAAAGAAAGTGACATCAAATACTAGTAGAGTAGTACCAGGTTATACCGAAAGAACTTGTGTGTGTGTGTGTGTGTGTGTGTGTGTGTGTGTGCGTGTGTGTGTGTGTGTTTTGAGACAGAATTTCTCTGTAGTTTTGGAACCTGTCCTGGAACTCACTCTTGTAGGCCAAGCTGGCTTCAAACTCATAGAGATCCGCGTGCCTCTGCCTCTTGAGTGCTGGGATTAAAAGCGTGCGCCACCACCGCCTGGTTTAAGAACTTGGTTTTTATGGATTGAAAGATTGAAAAAACATTGTAATATGTGACCAAGAAGGAAATGCATTCTGAAAAATATTGTATGAAATGGACAGGCGACTGGAATGCTTAAATACTGTCTACACCCCCCCCCACACACACACACACTATTTAAGCTGGGTGGAGTGGCACATATCTGTAATCCCAATACTCAGAAGACTAAATCAAGAAAATCACAGGTTCAAGGTCAACCCAAGCTACATAGCAAAGACACCACCTCAAAAAAATCAGATGAAGGGGAAGAAGATGGGATAGGAGAGGATGAGGAAGGGAAGGAGGAGGAGGACGGTTTAACTGGTTTGTAATAAAGAAGGCAAATACTCATTGTCAGCATTGGAGTAAAAGTGTGTCAATTTTTTTCCATGTTGAAAGGGAGAAAACAAACTGCTTTAAAAATTAAAAGTACTATGATTGATATACTGTGTCTTTCATTTTGCTTTGTACCTTATCGTATATACAAACCTACATTTTGGAACTGAATCATAATTATATCTTGAATACTGGATAATAATACTGAAACCCTTAAGTAAGTACAAATATATTTAAATTAAACAAATAATTTTTAAAAGAAAGAAAAATAAAAGCTACTGGTGTGAGATAATGACTATGTCACCTAGCTTGGTTATGGTGATCATTTCATAATATATACATATATTAGGAGACAACCAAGTTTCAAACCTGAAATAAATACACTTTACTTGTCAATTATACCTCAGTAAAGGTGCGGGGGGATGACTAGATTAAATACAATATTATACTATAGGTGTCAATTTACTCCCCGCCCCACCCCCAAATGAGAGCACTTGTGGAGTAGAAAACCTGAACCATTTAGTGGCATCACACCACAAAGTAGGGTACCATGGGTGCTGCTTCTGCCGAGGGAATTTAAGAAAGCAGAATGCAATCTCCCGATTTAGAATTTGGCCAGTAGACAAGAGTCTAACGCCCCTACTCTTGTGAAAATAGCAAGGCATCTTTAATAAGCACCAGTAGTCATGTCCTTAGCTCTGCATTTCATCTCAAAGATAAAACACTGCTGTGGCTGTCTTGCCAGGCTAAGGGACTGACTGATGCAATGGGAAACCCAACAGCAAGGACACTCCAGCTGAATTACAAAAATAGCTTTTTCCCCAAGGATTTTTAATTCCAACTCCGAGCTTCACTATCACAAGGAAAATAGACAAACGCAAATGTGATCGTTGCAGAGAATACATCATTACCTGACCACTAGGGCTCACTCATCTGGAGTCCTTTGTTGTACTGGTTTGCTGGAATGAGGGGCAATAAATAGCAAGCTTTTTCTGTGTTTTAACCTCTAACTTAGCTCATGATCCATACTAACCTGGCAAAGTCACCAGCACAGAAACAAACGCACATAGACAGATACAGATATATACATGAATATCATTCAAACATATGTAACCTACAAAATAAATTTGATATCTCTCTATAAATTACATTCTGGATAGGAAACTGACCATGATGAGGATTCTCTTGACTCAAAGTACAAATGGCAAAGTAAGATAGTGTGGCGTTTCTCCCCTCTGCTGATCCTGGAGTGCAGAGATAATACTTTCCAGAGGAACTTTTGAGGCACCTTTTGCTCTTTGTAACTCACTGTCGAGCTGGGAGCTAAAGATTCCACATTTCTCTTAAGTAATAAAAAGAAAGTAAATAAGCCACTGACTCTCTATCACCCTTCAAATTGGCCATGCAGATTGAAACCATCTCTGTGTCCGCATCTGCCTCCAAATAGATATTAATCAACTGGTCAAACACTTCGTTTTTACAACAGTGGAAAAATTACTCCATCAGAAAATATGCACACTGTTTACTATGTGGTAAACTGAACTGAATTAAACCCAATGGCTACTGATTATTTTTCATTGCCTCAATTTATTCTCATGTTTATAAGGGATAGTTTTCATTTTAGAAAACAAGAATAATTGTAATTTGATGTGATAGTGATATTCATAATGTTGCAAAAATTATTCTTAGGTAATTCTGGAGTTTATGGTAAGATGAGAAGCACTCACATTGCTGAATTAAAAACAAAACATCATTTATGCCCAAACAAGTGTTATTTTTATCCTCTGCTATCCAACTTTCTCAACTGTCATCCTTGAACAACTGCAGAATGGAATATTCTTAGCTGCCACTTTGATCTAACCTTGTACACATGTAACCCATGTTTGTGGTGGGAAGACTGGAGAGTAGTTCGCATTTCACGTTTAATGAATATGTGAAATAATACTAAAATTTCTTACCTGACCATAAATTCAAATAGATGAATCTGTTTTTGATTTCCTGGCTCCAAAACATTTTCTTGCCTCTTAAATTCTCGCTTTATGTAAAGAGCATATTTATAGGTGGAAGCACCAAGATCTACCTTGAACTATTTTTCCAGTTAATCCATTGACGTTTTCTATATATTTCCTACATACTGGAGTACACACTAATTGAATGGTGTATTGCTACCTATTTCCTTGAGACAGAGTTACACTAATTCTTTCGTGAGACTCATATATGATAACATGAACACTGTGTGGAACAAATGATAACGCTAGGTCATTGTAGATTAAAAGAGAGAACTTTTGCAGGGAGGAGACAATGAAAGAGTATTATGTAGGGCTTAGTTACAGCAAGCAAAACATGAAGGTATCAAATGCAGTTTGGACATTCTTGATTCTTTCTTTCTCTTTTAAGGCATTTATCGATATATCCACTAAGATGTGGACATGTATATATTACAATGCCCAACCTTCAAGTTTATTTATCAATATATTGTTGTTTTCTATAGCTAATCGCATCACATTCTGGAAAACCTACTCCAGTATATTAACGGCACAGGGCGGGCAATGTGAGGATTAACTTTGTTAATTAAAAAGTAAAAGTCTATTGTGAGTTAAGACCCTCTTTCGTACAAATAAACAATTTAAAGTTCAAACTCACTTGTGGAACTGAGGAGTAGAAATCTGAGTCTCATAATTTCTATGGAATCCTGACTGAGGTGTAATTTATTTTGTTTTGTTTTTACTATATTCCTTGTTGAAAGGTCCATAATTTATGTCTCATTCTCTCAGCATGGGCAATGCACCATGATGATGTCTCTGGGTTCTTATTCTTCTGGATTCCTACCCCCAACTCCTAGAGGTGCCATTAAGCCAATTTCTATCCAGCTAGCTTTGACTATTTATGTCACAGACTCCTCTTTTGAACAGTTCTCCCCCATGCCACAAAAACTGCTTGCCAAGTCAGCTGCTACCAAATCCCCAGCTGTCTTCTGCATCCGCAAGGAATTCCCCACCGAATTCCACCAGGAGTTCTGGATTTCTCTCATGGGCTCTAACTAAAACCCATACTGCCATTTCTACTACAAATGCTTCATAGGAACACATGGCTTTTCAAAACCACTTGTAATATCTCATGCTCCACCCTGTCCTGGATCTCTCCCACACATTTTTAGTTGTTTCCTCTTTTTATTGAGATACACAACCCACAATGCATACGAACCACACATTGAAGTTTTAGAACTCACTGTGTTTTAGAATATCCATGTAGTTACACAACGATCAATTTTAAAGCAAATTCACCCAAAACAAAACCCCATGCCAGTTACCAGTTATTGCCCACATCTTGTCACTGCTTCCTGTCTCTAACAACCACTAACATGTTTCCTTTTTCTATGAATTTTCTTTCTCACTCTCATAAATGGAATCACACAGTGTTTGCCCCCTTATGTCTGGCTTATTTCATTTAACACAATATTTTCAAGATTTCTTCATGGGACAGCATCTACCAGTAATTTATTCCCTTTTATAACTAAATAGTTTTCCATTATTTAGGTAGGCCAAATTTTGTTGGCCAGTTCATGCATCCCTTGATATTTGGGAGTTTTCACATAGTGTCATGAATATTGCTGCCATGAAGATTTATGTATGCAGCATTTTGAATATATTCTTTGAAAATTTTATACATACATACAATATATTTCTATCATACATCCCTCTCCTCCTCGCTTTCAATTTCCTTCTGCACCATTCCTCAATATATCTCCCTCCCATCTTCATGTCCTCTTCTTTTCTTTTTACTTTTTAAAAATAGCCAAATGAACCTAACCAGTGCTGCCAGTG